CCAACCTCCGCTACGATTCGGGCCCCGGCTGCTGCTCGGTCCCCCTCTTTCGCCCCTACGTCGCCAGGGTCCCGTGGCACGGCGGCGTCAGGGCTTTCTTGTCCCAGCTCTTCCCTCGATACGGCCATTACTGTGGGCCCAACTGGTCGAGCGGCAAGGATGGAGGGTCGATGCTCTGGGATCGGAGGCCCATTGATTGGCTGGACTTCTGCTGCTATTGTCATGATATTGGGTATGATACCCACGACCAGGCTAAGCTTTTGAAGGCCGATCTTGCGTTTCTTGAGTGCTTGGAGCGGCCTAAGCTGGCTACCAAGGGCGGCGCTCATCTCGCGTTCTTGTATAGATCCATGTGCATTACTGGTAGGGGTGAACTTTATTTTTTTTAATTGTTTTTTTACTGTTTTTGGAATTTTGGGATTGGAATTCGGTGTGGATCACACATATGCAGATGCATCTATAGGCATTGGGATATGGGTACATATATGATATATGATTTTTTATGGGTAGGCGTCGAAATGATAGGATTGTACCAAAACTTCGAAGTTATGGTGAGAGCCGAGGGTGATAATAATTTTTGTACCGTAGTAATATGAATTGAGGACCCTTTTATGGCAGTGGCGCGACTGTACTAATTCTTTGTACATTTGCTTAGAAATTCATGGCTAACAATATTGGAACCTAGGTTGCCTGTGTCAAAAAAAATGCTACTAGCGGCTGAGGGGTGTATTTTTATATTCTAACCGTAGGATTTGACTGTATATATGAAATATGTTGTGCGCAGCGAAAATTTCGGCAGAGTTTCTGGTGCACAATAAGAGAGAAAGATCAATAAGAATTCCCGTCTCACTAAGGAGACAAGAATCTGAAGCGAATATCTCAACAAAGTGAAATATCGACTCTTCCTCTCATCAGTTCTAGGACTGACTTGTCGATGGATCCTAAAACTATTACAATGGCCATAAACACAAACAAACCAATTTTTACGTGGTTCGGCAAACTGCCTACGACCACGGGGCAAGGAGGGGGAGATCTACTATTAAAGAGAAAAAGAATACAATGGGTTTACAACTCTCACAATCTAAACCCTCAAATAGGCTCCTTGCTTTTCTTCTCAAGAAAAGATCAGCCTCAAAATACTTTTTCTCTCTTCACGAAGCCTCTGCCTTCTTGATGCACGCAGCCCAAAAACTTTCTCTGGTTTTCTCCCCTGTCGCACCTCTGCCAAAGACAAAAACCCAAAGCCGCACACCCTTGCACACTGCCGTTTTCCCCCTTAGCCTCCGCACACAAACCTAGGCTAAAAAACAATGTTCCTATTTATAGCCTATTCCACAAAACACGTCTCCTGATAGCTTTGCCAGCTCGTGGCCCTCGCGTTCACCTCACCAGCTCACGCGTTTTGGTCCCCCATGTTCACACGTTGTGTTATCTTTTCACACGGAGCTTCACGCAGTTTCACAATTCTCCACCTCGGTGAAGTTTTCCCAAAACTGAGCCGACACCAAACAAACCAAATGTCTCATTTGTTGCGTCCAGTACGAAATGAAACGATTCACGATAACGGACTCAATCCACAACAAGTTGAGACCCAAACAAGAGTGCGAACACTCTCCCAACCGTCGATGTCTACTCACCAAATCAATCTTCACCCCCATCAACTAATCCAAACCCAGCTGCATCATAAAGACTGCCTACGTATCCTCTTGCCCAAGGAATCAAACCTTACGTAGTTCACCCAAATGGCCTCCAAAGACCTCAATCCAATAGAAGAGTTCGCAACCCTTCTCCAATATCATCTATTCTGCGGCTGATAGCACCTCCAATGGCCTCAAACACCTCCACCTGAGGTGAACCAATGATCATATCCAAACTATGTTTTCCAGCTGCCCTCAAATCAACCAACTCATCATCTGCATCCAAATCCAAATGATATCCAAACTGTGTCACCTCAGCTGGAATCCCAAACAATACAGTATGATCTGGAGTATATGGAATAATCTCCACCCAATGTGGAGTAACATTACTCTCTACCCGTTACGATACCTCTAAGGTCTGTCCAAAACTCTCCACCTGCTGAGAGTCAATTGGCTTCCTCATCGAAGCCTCAACCAAAGTGACACTACCAGACCTATCTTTCAATAGAGTTTTACCTCCAATCATAGTAGTTGACAACTCTTTAATAGGATGATTTAAATATGTCGAAGCCTCAGTCCAGAATCTTTTCTGCAAACCATTCCTCGACCATAAACACCGATCCTCCTCCAGCAAGGCACGGTTCTCCAAATTTGCTATCCTATCTAGTTGCCCCAAGATTTCTTTTCCAACGAAGTGTCTCGAAATGCCGTGAGCTCGGTTCCAATACAGAAACAAGTCCATCTTGTACCTCCTACCAAAATCAGAATGGAGTACATTCACCTTTATGTCTGTCTTACACTTCTTCAAACTGTTAGAGACTACTAGGACTTTCTCCAATGAGGATTTGGTTGCAACTCAAACACGCTTAGAACAGCCACCAACAAAGGAAACCAAACGCCTATTACCTCCCAATGATGCCCCATTGGAAGGTCCCCAAATATTCACGTGAACTCCTCCAGAACGACCCTTAGCACGGTGAATAGAGGTGTCAAACTTCACATCGGTCTTCTTGCTCATATCAACATGTTCACTGGACTTTAAACTGCTGGTCTTTACACCCTCTTTTAATCTATGCGAGGAATCAATACTGGAATGGTCAAGCCCCAAATACCGCAGTCTAGTCGAATCAACAGAAGTCGCCAGCTCTTCACCTGTCACTATACCTCCAGTCAAGTAATACAGGTTATTTCTCCTGACGCCCTTCATCACAATCCGAGAGTCTTCCATAATCTTGAGAACCATGTCCTCAATTCGAACATTCAGACCCTCTCCAACCAAAGCTCCAATCGAGATCAAGTTCTTCCTCAAACAATGAACATATCTCACATCATTTAACTCCCTAACAGTCCCGTCAAATATTTTTATGCGAATTCTTCCTATCCCAAAGATCTGGTATGCACGGTTATCAGCCATGTACACCACATCACTATCCAGCTTCTCAAATCTGGAGAACCATTCCCTTCTAGGGCACACATGATAGGTCGCACCACTATCCAACATCCACTTGGATTCCTCCGAATAGCTACACGTAGGACTGATAGAAAGCGAATAAATAGAGGAGTCAGAAACATTACCATCCGATACAATGTTTATTTCTGATGATGGTTGCTTTTCTTTTCCCTTCTGCTTATTCTTCATCCATTCGTCGAGCTTTGGGCAGTCTTTCTTCCAATGACCAGTCTCCTTGCACCAAGCACACTGATTTTTTCCTACTCTAGACTGTGACTTCCAATTCTTTCGGTTTGGACCATTCCCTCTTGCGGCTAACGCCTCTGCTACTGACTCAGTCGAAGTCTTCTTATCCTTCTTCCGAAGCTGATAATTCACCAGTGCAGCAGTGACCTCACTATACGAAAGAGATGCCTTCCCATTAATCAGAGTAAGGACGAAGGTCTCATATTCCTCGTCGGGCAAGAAACTCAATAGCAACAACGCCTTATCCTCATCTTCAATCATAACATCCACGTTCGTCAAATCCGCAAGAAGCTTTGTGTAGGTGTTCATGTGATCACTAATTGCGGTTCCCTTCTTCAACTGAAAACGATAAAGTCTCCTCTTCAAATGTAAGCGGATCTCAACACTCTTTGTCAGATACTTGCTTTCGAGAATCTCCCAAATCTTCTTTGCAGAAGTCTCATTCATCACATCATATTTTAGATCTTGAGTCAAACAAGGCTTAATCACACCACACGCCGTTCGATTCATCTTCTTTCAAATCTTCTCTTCAATCTTATCTGGCTTGCTATCTAACTCTAGGTATCCTCCAAATTCTACGCGTTCAGCGCATCCAAAACCTCGCATCTCCATAATCCAAAATTATTTATACCATTAAACTTCTCCACATCTATCTTCATAGAGTGGATATTCAAACTCTGAATGGTCTTCGTGCCAGAAGCACCACCCTCGACACCCGAAGCACCTTCTGTCCCCGACATCTTTCTCAACGCACTAATGAACGAAGAATAGTTCCAAAACTGAAAAGATAGTTTTTACCAAAAAATCCCACATTTATCACCAAACAAAGCCCTAGACGAGCTTCCAAAGCAATCTACTCCTCCAAATAGCCCAAGCGTAGCCCGAGCTTTGATACCACTTGTGCGCAGCGGAAATTTCGATAGAGTTTCTGGTGCACAATAAGAGAGAAAGATCAATAAGAATTCTCGTCTCACCAAGGAGACAAGAATCTGAAGCGAATATCTCAACAAAGTGAGATATCGACTCTTCCTCTCATCAGTTCTAGGACTGACTTGTCGAGGGATCCTAAAACTATTATAATGGTCACAAACACAAACTAATTTTTACGTGGTTCGGCAAACTGCCTACGTCCACGGGGCAAGGAGGGGGAGATCTATTATTAAAGAGAAAAAGAATACGATGGGTTTACAACTCTCACAATCTAAACCCTCAAATAGGCTCATTGCTTTTCTTCTCAAGAAAAGGTCAGCCTCCAAATACTTTTTCTCTCTTCACGAAGCCTCTCTCTTCTTGATGCACGCAACCCAAAAACTTTCTCTGGTTTTCTCCCCTGTCGCACCTCTGCCAAAGACAAAACCCCAAAACCGCACACCCTTGCACGCTGCCGTTTTCCCCCTTAGCCTTCGCACACAAACCTAGGCTAAAAAACAATGTTCCTATTTATAGCCTATTCCACAAAACACGTCTCCTGATAGCTTTTCCAGCTCGTGGCCCCCGCGTTCACCTCACCAGCTCACGCGTTTTGGTCCCCCATGTTCACACGTTGTGTTATCTTTTCACACGGAGCTTCACGCGGTTTCACAAAATATAAGTAAAAAAAAATTAGGAGTCTCATATTGAAAACCTTAGATTATTGAGGCCAAGAGCACTTTGTTAAACATAGATCTAATTTTAGTTTCTTAGATATGTGAAAGACGTTGATGAATTCTGATAGCAATTGGTAATCCATATATCTAATTGTAAATATTTTTTTTAAGGAATGCGAAACACATTGATGGATAATGGTAGCAATTTTGGTAATTCAGAGATCTAATCTTGGCAAGCTTAGCTATGTGAAATATATTGATGAGTTCTGATTTGAGAAGTTCCATTTTATTAATCAGTTTTTATATCACATGAGCTATATATATTTTTTCAAACTTATTGGTTTATCTTGTCTCCGTTAATTTTGTGTCTACATGTGTCTATGCCATATAGAACTAGAGATTCTTATATTTTTGGGTGCTTTTTGGAATTTGAATATGACGTTTGTAAATTTGGGGGGTTGCAGGATTGAGGCATGTGCTTATACCATATAGGATGCATCTGGTAAGGATGCAATCTGCGCCGTCGTTTGTGGATTTGCTGAGCAGTTTGGTCGCCTCTGGGAGAGGTAATGCATTTAGGCATAATTCGAGTTGATATTGTATATGGTATTGTGGCAAATGTTTGTGAATACGTATCCTGTTGGTTAATTTAGTCAAATAGATTTCATGTTGTGCAGCAATGAAGAACGGTTTTATGTAGAGTTTCTCGACTGACTAATGTATTTTACTTGGGTATATAGTAACATATTTAGTCTTTAATGTATGAAAATATTCTTTAGGGCATTGAATGACATGAAGTTTAATGCGACGCTGTAGTAAGATGATTTTGAGCTGTTGATGGAGATTACCTATTTAATTTTTTTTCTTAGCAATGATTGTGTAAGATGACTTTTAGAAAAGGATAATATGGCAGACGCCAGACGCTACTGAAACCCTTTCTAAGTCAGGATGGAGAGGTCTGTCAACCAGAATGAAAATCATTTTGCATTATAATCATCTGTTAAAAGGAATTGTTGATTTGCATCTATTGTTGATCACAAAGTAAATAGAGGGAGCAAGAATATCTCCCTAATTTTATATGGTACTTCAATGAGTTATGGAACTTCTCAATTCTCATTATTAATAATCCACATGCCTTAATTTGGATGATAAATGTCAAAGGACAACTCATTAAAAAAATTTCTCACTCTTATTTATTGACTTCAATTTGTACATGTTGCATAGCTCTTTCGAACATGCCAGGAACTTGTGCACATAATTATATTGGTGGCTTCAAACGAGATACAAAGTGTTCTTGTTGAGCAGTCGTTGGTGCAAGATTTCCCCCCAGTATCATGAACATGAAGTGTATCGTTCAGTCTTAGTTTATTTTCGATGCTGGATTTAGATGGATTTGGAATCAACTTTGATTTTTATCTTGGACGAATCAACTACGAAGATTTTTTTTTGTCCACGGCCATCTTCTACATTGTCTTGAAAGCTCTTGGTTCGAGCAATATGCTACCTAGCACCTAAAGTAAACCTTGCACTCAACATCATCGTTGGTAATGTTTGCTTACGAAGATTTTTTTTTGTCCACGGCCATCTTCTACATTGTCTTGAAAGCTCTTGGTTCGAGCAATATGCTACCTAGCACCTAAAGTAAACCTTGCACTCAACATCATCGTTGGTAATGTTTGCTT